TTTTCGATTCCCAGTTTCGATTCCAATGTGATTAAATAATGATATCAAACATTTATCCTGTGTCTCTTTTTGCAAACCATTTAGTTGCAGCTGATTACCATGAACAAAAATCAACAGGTTACATAAAAACTGGACTCTTTAAGAGCTGTTTGTATGCAAAATAGAGCTGCATGATTTTGGATAAATTGTTTTTGTTTGTTTTGTTTTTCTCAATGGAAGTTGTGGTTCTCTCACAATTCTGAAGAAAAACATTAGACAACTAAACAAAATCACATGTAATTTATGAATGATTGATTCAATGACTCACTCAAGATGTACTTGTTTCCTTACTGGATGAATCAGCGTTTTTGAAAAAAATCTCTTGTATGATTCAAAGACAAATACATTTTAACAGCCCCTTTTTGCCACCTACTGGCGTAACAATGTAATCGATAAATCTTCATTTGAAGTGTCAAATTACTACTTTACTTCAAAAGGTGATTTACTCCATTTTAATCGCTACCGTACACATCAGAGTTTATATCTGAAATAAACTTTTATCCCAGTACTTCTGTGATTTGAATGTTTGCAACACAGAAATAATGATACTGTGTGGTTGAAAATACTGTGATGCTGTTTCATATACTTGACAGCAGCTGCTCTCTTTAGGTCAACGGCAGTGCGGACGCAAATTTAAATGTTCAAATCAAACTGATGTAATCGTACACTACATGGACGAACCAAGTGATCACAATGTTGTGATTGCACATGTCAAAGTTTGAGGAATGAAACAGACGAATCATTGTAATTTAGGAATAGAATTACGTTGGTGTTTGAATCGTGTTCGCGATCTTTAACAATCTATTAAATTAAAGTGCTTTGTCATGTTTGTGGTGACACCTCTCTTGCAACATGTTTAGCTTATCAATGATATTATAGTTAGAATTTTTGGCTTCTGATCGCAAGTGTAGCCAAACTTTGGAGCGCTTAGATTAGCGAGCAAGGTCCTAGCAGATCGCTAGGTCCATTCCTCACAGATGAAGAAAAAAAAGCGCATAGAAATCGATAGGCGGAATCAAAATTTTAATTTGACAACAAGTATCTGATTCCTGACCTTAAGTATCCGATTCTGGAATTGGAATCGATTTTCGATTCCCAACCCTAGTCAGGATGATAGAGCAGTTCATAGGTGGGTTGAAAGCAAAAAAAAGCTTTTAAAATGAAGTACCAATAAACAATCATACAACGTGAAATGCCAATGCATTTAAATCTACTCAAAAAAAATCAAAGTGGCCACTCACAGCGATGAATATCCCACTCGGCCCGTTGAAATTATCAATCCAGCCCTTTAACAGAGTGGAAAAGAAAGAGCGGTGTTCAAAATCAAGGCAGTATTTTTTAATTAGGTGGGAGGATGGAAATGAAAATGCTTACGGGGAACGGCTCCTTCCAGCTGGCTCCCACTATCGAGGGCCTGATGATAGCGACGTTGAGGTTTCCACACTCCTGCTGGATGAGCTGTTCTGCCAAGGCTTTAGTGTACGTGTATGTGTTAGGCCGCTCACCTAACAGCTTTGGTGTCATTAAAGAGACCAGTTTGTCGTCCATCCACCTGTAAGCGTCGCACAAATCCAGGAAGTTATTTCTGAGCTGTTTTGTAGTTAGATATGTTTGTTTGTAAGTATGTACGTTCAGTATGTTTTAAAGGCACAATATGTAAGTTTTCACCGCTAGAGGGTGCGTATTCAAAACAAACAAAGAAAAGGCATAGTTTGATGACGCCGTGACTGAGTGTGGAATCATGGGAGTTGTCGTCGTCATCCCGACAGACGATGCAATCCGACGGGACTCGGGCAGAAATCATGTTCATGGATGAGCTAATGTATTAAATTTATTAGATTTATTAACGTAGTAGAATGAAGCAGGGTGAGGCTGAAAGCAGTCGAAGCGAAACGAGACCGCTGAACGAGTGTGACACACGGCTGGAAAGCAGTGGAGCTTTTATTATGCCACAGTCGACCGCTTCTGCTCCTTCCGTATGCATATCCGTATCCTATCCTTGCGTATGTGGGGTAAAACAGCGCTGTTTTATCATACTAGATACGTTTGAAAGTTTTGTTATAATGCTACTCTGTGCGGTCGTCACCTGTGTAATAAAACACATAACATATTAAAGCGTTTTTGGTGTTTCCATGTTTTCTACAAAACAAAACCGGAAATCGAGGGGTTATGACGTCATTGGCAGGCGACGCAATGCCCAGGAACAAGCCACTATTTAAAATTGCTATTTCTCTGGATTTATCTGGAACATTCTTCAAAACATTTGGGATAATGTAAGTATACAAGTGAGCAATATACAGTGGGTACGGAAAGTATTCAGACCCCCTTCAATTTTTCACTCTTTGTTATATTGCAGCCATTTGCTAA